AGACTAATTAAAGTAATTCTAACTCAAACATAAACCATTTTTCGTAACACTGATAAAAATAATAAAATAGATTAAATAAATATGATATTACTTACACATAAACTAAAATAAAATTGTAACATGAATAAAAACTAACAACNTAGATTTTTAAAGTTTTAAAAATTATACTACAAAATTAAATCAATAATAGGAAAAACTTGTTTGAATCAAATTATATAACCAACTTGATACACCTTTGCTATTTAAGACCTAAATATTTGAATAACTAAAAATGGAATAAGCAAAGAAANAAANATAATATAAAAAGTCTCGTGGAAACAAAAATATCAAACCAAATCACTAACTCAACATCTAATTCATCCTATTTTCCATGATTTTGGATTAACGTTTGAGTTAGCAATTTTACAAAGGGCATAACTCAAAATAGTAAATCAACTATAAGTCATTCTAACTCAAACTCAAATTTTAAAATTTTAGTTTGATTTTGGTAACATTTTTGAGTTACTAATGAGTTAGATCCTTAACTCAAACTAAATGAATGAAAACTCATGTCACCAATCAAAGCCATTATAAAATTTGTCTGTAAGTAGTATCTAAGTTTTCTTTAGCCTAGCCTGTCGGAAAAAATATATATAACTTTAGCATGCTAAACCAAAAAGGAGCAAGGAACAATGCGATTTTTTCGCTAAGAAGAATAAATTAAATAAACATATGGAAATTAAATAAACATATGGATCGGATCTATAGAAGTATCTTTGTGCTGTTATTTTTACTTGTGTTATGCATGTATTGTAAAAATTATCTTTTCATATATATATATGAAAAGCAAGTTCATACTAATGTTTTAAAATTTGCTCAGCTTAATACTTTACGGTACTCTATTAAAATAGTATTGTTTCCTTCTATCTTTATTATACTAAATCACACACGATCAATAATACTCTGCCACATGGCTTGATTTCATATTAAAAAATTTATTAAAAAACATTTTTTTTTTAAAACGTAAACTGTTTTTTCTATAACAAACCAAATAACTTGATTCTAGAAATCCCTAAAATTACTCACCACACACCACGTTTATAGTCACACGATCTTTGAAACTAAACTCACGATTTTTAAACTGTTTAATCTTCCTCATAAAAAGTTAATTTCATGAATGGTTACACAAA